CAAATTCCCATCTTGGTCAAACCTTTAAACAGTTAGGACCAAAGCCAAAATCCCCTCTCGATTCGTTCCATGAACGAGAGGTCCACAAATTGAACGATCAAACCTTTAAACAGTTAGGATCGTCTCAAATTCCCATCTTGGTCAAACCTTTAAACAGTTAGGACCAAAGCCAAAATCCCCTCTCGATTCGTTCCATGAACGAGAGGTCCACAAATTGAACGATCAAACCTTTAAACAGTTAGGATCGTCTCAAATTCCCATCTTGGTCAAACCTTTAAACAGTTAGGACCAAAGCCAAAATCCCCTCTCGATTCGTTCCATGAACGAGAGGTCCACAAATTGAACGATCAAACCTTTAAACAGTTAGGATCGTCTCAAATTCCCATCTTGGTCAAACCTTTAAACAGTTAGGACCAAAGCCAAAATCCCCTCTCGATTCGTTCCATGAACGAGAGGTCCACAAATTGAACGATCAAACCTTTAAACAGTTAGGATCGTCTCAAATTCCCATCTTGGTCAAACCTTTAAACAGTTAGGACCAAAGCCAAAATCCCCTCTCGATTCGTTCCATGAACGAGAGGTCCACAAATTGAACGATCAAACCTTTAAACAGTTAGGATCGTCTCAAATTCCCATCTTGGTCAAACCTTTAAACAGTTAGGACCAAAGCCAAAATCCCCTCTCGATTCGTTCCATGAACGAGAGGTCCACAAATTGAACGATCAAACCTTTAAACAGTTAGGATCGTCTCAAATTCCCATCTTGGTCAAACCTTTAAACAGTTAGGACCAAAGCCAAAATCCCCTCTCGATTCGTTCCATGAACGAGAGGTCCACAAATTGAACGATCAAACCTTTAAACAGTTAGGATCGTCTCAAATTCCCATCTTGGTCAAACCTTTAAACAGTTAGGACCAAAGCCAAAATCCCCTCTCGATTCGTTCCATGAACGAGAGGTCCACAAATTGAACGATCAAACCTTTAAACAGTTAGGATCGTCTCAAATTCCCATCTTGGTCAAACCTTTAAACAGTTAGGACCAAAGCCAAAATCCCCTCTCGATTCGTTCCATGAACGAGAGGTCCACAAATTGAACGATCAAACCTTTAAACAGTTAGGATCGTCTCAAATTCCCATCTTGGTCAAACCTTTAAACAGTTAGGACCAAAGCCAAAATCCCCTCTCGATTCGTTCCATGAACGAGAGGTCCACAAATTGAACGATCAAACCTTTAAACAGTTAGGATCGTCTCAAATTCCCATCTTGGTCAAACCTTTAAACAGTTAGGACCAAAGCCAAAATCCCCTCTCGATTCGTTCCATGAACGAGAGGTCCACAAATTGAACGATCAAACCTTTAAACAGTTAGGATCGTCTCAAATTCCCATCTTGGTCAAACCTTTAAACAGTTAGGACCAAAGCCAAAATCCCCTCTCGATTCGTTCCATGAACGAGAGGTCCACAAATTGAACGATCAAACCTTTAAACAGTTAGGATCCTCACAAAATTCCCACTCGGTCAAACCTTTAAACAGTTAGGACCAAAGCCAAAATCCCCTCTCGATTCGTTCCATGAACGAGAGGTCCACAAATTAAACGATCAAACCTTTAAACAGTTAGGACCAAATCCAAAATCCCCTCTCGATTCGTTCCATGAACGAGAGGTCCACAAATTGAGCGATCAAACCTTTAAACAGTTAGGATCATCTCAAAACTCATTTTGGTCAAACCTTTAAACAGTTAGGACCAAAGCCAAAATCCCCTCTCGATTCGTTCCATGAACGAGAGGTCCACAAATTGAGCGATCAAACCTTTAAACAGTTAGGATCATCTCAAAACTCCCACTTGGTCAAACCTTTAAACAGTTAGGACCAAATCCAAAATCTCCTCTCGATTCGTTCCATGAACGAGAGGTCCACAAATTGAGCGATCAAACCTTTAAACAGTTAGAGGTATGATTGCTTCCAGTCTCAATTGATCAAACCTTATTCAGATTCTCTGAATAGAAATCCCACTTCAAATTTCCTTTGTACTAGGAGATAGAATATAAAATTCTTCCTCTTCGACTCCGGGTTTATCTCTACCAACAAACAAGAGACCAGGAGATAGGAGGGTTTATCTCTACCAACTTCCTTTGTACTAGGAGATAGAATATAAAATTCTTCCTCTTCGACTCCGGGTTTATCTCTACCAACAAACAAGAGACCAGGAGATAGGATATAAAATTCTTCCTCTCCGATTCTGGGTTTATCTCTACCAACAAACATCATCTCAGAACTCCCACTTGGTCAAACCTTACTACAGTTAGGACCAAAACCAAAATCCCCTTTCGATTCCTTCCATGAACGAGAGGTCCAGCTTCGATTTGTGCAATCAAAACTATAAAAGTTAAGATTGCTTCCAATCTCAATTGATCAAACCTTATTCAGATTCTCTGAATAGAAATCCCACTTCAAATTTCATTTGTACCAGGAGATAGAATATAAAATTCTTCCTCTCCGATTTCGGGTTCATCTCTACCAACAAACAAGAGACCAGGAGATAGAATATAAAATTCTTCCTCTCCGATTTCGGGTTCATCTCTACCAACAAAAAAGAGACCAGGAGATAGAATATAAAATTCTTCCTCTCCATCATCGGGTTCATCTCTACCAACAAACAAGAGACCAGGAGATAGAATATAAAATTCTTCCTCTCTAATTTCGGGTTCATCTCTACCAACAAAAAAGAGACCAGAATACTCCAATAGGTACACGAGTCTAAACTGTTTTCCTACCCTCAACAGGAAGTTTCTGGAGAATATTACTCAGAATATTCTTAAGAATAACATGAATACTCCAATAAGCACACGAGTCTAAACTGTTTTCCTACCCTCAACAGGAAGTTTCTAGAGAATATCAGTTAAAATATTCTTAAGAATAACCTGACTACCCCTAAACGGGTATACTCAGTGTCAACTTGACGACAAGAGCTGATTTCACAAGTACAAGTTCCAGCTTTAATTCAAGATCTCTACAATGGACAAGCGATAAACGCGATGCCGGAAGAATCTTAACTATTCTACAAAGCACTGAATAGATTGAGAGACAAAGAGATCAAAAGTTGAAGCCACCTACGGGTTCCTCTACACGATCTACTCAACCAAGCATTGAAAGGATCATAAGTAAGACCTATCTTATCCAAAGCATCCCAGAACTCCTCTATAAAAGATTGAGTCTGGAATACTTTGGAGGGGGTATCTGTAGGCGTCAAAAAATGCTGAAAGATATCCAAATACAGCTCAAGAGGAAATCATCCAAAAAGGCAGAAGAACACAAGTCTTGAATGTCTTGCCATGCGAGACAGACTTGACTATCTCGCCGCGCGAGACAGTCTTTACTGTCTCGCCGTGCGAGACAGTCTTTACTGTCTCGCGGGCGAGACAGACTTTTACTGTCTCGCCCAAGCGAGACAGTCTTTGCTGTCTCGCCCACGCGAGACAGTCTTTGCTGTCTCGCCGTGCGAGACAGAATTTACTGTCTCGCACGTGAGACAGCTTTCAGATGGAACACTGTCTCGCCCAGCGAGACAACAAACACTGTCTCGCCCTCCGAGACAGCAAATGCTGTCTCGCGAGCCTGTTTTCTGCCAACTGTTCTCGGAGGTTATAAATACCCTCCTAATGCCATTTTTCCAAGGGGCTGATCATTTTGAGCACTTCAGAGCAATCCAGAGCAGAGAGAGAGCAGAGGTCTTGAACTTTCGGCCAATCCTTGATATTCAGGCTTTGACTTGATTTCAAGAAGAACGACTATCTTACTTCGATAAGATATCGTTTCAATTTCTAACTTCGATAACGAAGGAAGAATCAGTAAACCCCTCTTCACGATTTGTGATTCGGTGGTCCACGAGCTAACGCGCTCCCGGCACAGGCAAAGAACCCACGAAAGCAGTAATCCAAACAACGATCCTGCGTTTATTTTCTCAAGAGTTGTAATTTTCTTTTTGTTGTGTAAAAGAGTCTTATAAAAAGGCTGTTTTCTTTGAATTTATTGTAATCGACTAAAGATATAATGAATTCGACAACAAATTCGACTTTTGACGAAAACAGCCCCACGTTCTGTATACTATGTTGCCTTATTACGAATTCTTCGGTATCTCCTAGGCACTAGTACTCACTCTCTTCTGTTTCTTGCTACATCTGATTTAGAGCTTTGTACATATTCTGATGCTGATTGGGTTGATGATCCAACTATCAGAAAGTCTACCATAGGTTATTATATATTTCTTGGTGATTCCCTTATTTCCTGACGAAATAAGAAACAAAATGTTATTGCCCTTTCCAGCACCGAGACAGAGTATCGTATAATGTCCACAACAGCTAAAGAGATTATTCATCTTCGTTGTCTTCTTAATGATTTCGGTATTTCTGTTCCGACTCCTACTCCTCTCTACTATGATAATAATAGTGACATCCAGATTGCTAATAATCTAGTGTTTCATGAAAGGACCAAACACATTGAGATCGACGCTCATTTTGTTCGTCAACAAGTTATCAAGGATAAGACAATTCAACTTCCTCATGTCTCATCCGCCTATGAGCTTGCAAATTTCTTCACGGAGGCCTTACCTGTTCATCGATTCTAGTTTTTTGTACGCAAACTCACTTTGTTTGATCCAACATGAGTTTGAGGGGGGGCTGTTGATATTATTGTATGTGTTAGTAATAGGTTTAGTCCCACGTCGGTTATGAGAGCACACCTCACCCTCCTCTACTTGTATATATATATGTGTACACATTCAATACTTACTCTAAAAGAAATTTACCCCAAGACTCTCTCTCTCCTTTAACAATACCAAATGTACCCAACTATTAACCAGATTGAAGAAACAGTAAACTCTTGGATACAGCTTGGTTTGTGTTTCAAGCAGAGAAATGGCATCAAATACTTTAGTAAATCAATGTGCGCTACGACAAAAGCAAAGAGAAATCACTTCTTACAATAAGGACTTACCTCTCCAGCTTCACGAGGGCCAACACAAGAACAGGTCTATACTTTTCATAACTCCCTTCGTCAATAAAGTCGACCAGTGCACTCAGAAGAACCACAGAAACATTCTTTCTTTTTAACGTTACCCTCTGAATCTCGGACTTGACCAATACTATAATTGTAGTGATATGTCAGCTCTTGAAGAGGAGGGATATTATCAACAGCAAAGAACATTACATGAGGCATTTTCTTATCATCATGATCATAAAGCAAATTTTGGGCATAAAGGTTGGGCGAACAGCTGTGATTGATAAATCTGCCAACGTTTCCAAATTCGGCTGCATCAATTGTGAAACCAACATCCGTCGTAGTCTCTGTCTCAGAGGCAGCATCTAACTCCAGACCCGGTATCGAACATGAGAGACCCTCCCATAGATTATGGTCATCGTAATTATGCCCTATATCAAAAAGATACTCATCATTGATCCTCTCCTCAGCATCTTTATCATCAAGCATTTCTCCCACATATTCACATACAAAACTGCCAGAAGGAATGGAGTATAAGGATCTCACTCCCCAACCCCTTTTACTTGTCTTGAATATCTCCAGTGGTAGTTTAATGCCATGTTGGCTGACCCTATTATAACACGAAGGGGGACATTTGCAAGAAGGTCCACACTCATAAACAAGAGGCTTTGCCTGGATTATTGCGCCATTATAATTAAATGGAACATCCCCTCCGTTCTTCACCGCACAAGCACATTTCTTAGAATCCGAGCAACCGTCAGTACAATCACAGCCCCTTGGAGGTTTCGGAATATATCGTGAAGGGTATTTGACCTTAGTAATGTACTTAGAAGGCATTGGACGATCACCATCAATCGTATTTATTGCACAAATGGGCATACTTTCTTTTCCATTTGATATATCTTTCAGAAGCACGCCTTCCCTCACTTTTGACTTCATCGCCTTCCTGACCTCTCTAAGAGAAATTTCAGGTTGCCCCGGAATTCTCCTGAGCTGAAACTTGAAAACATGAAAACCATTATTCCCTCTCTCTGGCCAATATTTCTCAACAATATACAACCCATCATATGTAAATGTGGATACAAGCTTGGGCCTTCCATCACGAGATTCACCTTTAATAAGCTCTTTAGAACCATAAACAACTCTCACAGGGTTTCGAGCATCTATACTGTTCTTAAGAGCCAAATTTCCCCGTTCAAGTTTCTGATCGCCTATTTGTTTGTCACCACCGCCGGTAGCATTTCCTCCTGAACCTGAATATATCAAAACGTCTGAGCTGTCAATGTCATCAGGATAACCCCCAGATGCCACGATGCTCGTTGCAAGAAACACCCCATTTTTCCTTTTGTAATCAATTCCTCCTTGAAAAGGACGGTGTATTCCAATGATGGAAAGCTCGACCCTATAGTGAAACTCATCACCAACCTCGACTCCAGGCACACTGCCTATTATCGGCTCACCACGGTTCACCCATTGGTTACTTTCTTTTAGCATAGAAGCAGCCCTCAAATCAATCCTACGACTGTTTCCATTATCCTTTGAGTTTGTTGTCTTTGACTTTTCCTCTCCCTGTGTGAGCTTTCTACAGATGAGCTGAAACATTCGAAGAGTCCACATTACCTTTTTGCGACTGCTTGCCTCGTCACTGTTACTGCTCTTGTGATCTAGTTCGGGAGGGATAGACGGAGTCATAGTGATGCATAATTCACAAGATCGATCATAGGGAACAAGGGCCATTTCCTTCCTGGGGGAAGACACATAATTATTCCTTAACGATTTCTTTGACCTCTTCTTTGTGGATTTTTGAGTGATAGAATGTGGAACAATACCATCTGACTTTCTCCCCTTCTTCCATGGACAGTTTTCAGCAGCCATCAAACCGCGCACAATTTCCCTATTCCCATGAACTTCGAGAAATTCATCCCCTTGTTCCTTTGGTGACTTTCTCTTAAGATTCTTACCGTCTTTTAGAATATTGATGGTTCTCTTGTCTACTGGTTTATTTAACAAACTCCTGTCTTCTTTATCCTCTACTTTAGTCCCAGGAGGAACCTTTGTTTCTTGCAATTCTTTAACTTGAAGATTCTCACCAAGTTGCTTTGCATCAAATCCTTTCAACTTTACTTTCAGAGACTTGATTGTAGTTTCCTCTTCTACCTTCAAATTAATTTTCTTAGATTCATTCTTTAGAGCATCGATGGGTCTCTTGTCTACTGGTTTCTCTACGAAGCTCCTCCGTACGTTATCATCTATTTTAGTCCCACACGCAACCTTTGTTTCTCGCAATTCTTTACCTCGAAGATCCTCACCCAGTTGTTTCACACCAAATCCTTTCAACTTAACTTTCACTTTCAGAGACTTGGTTGGTGTTTCTTTTTCAACCTTCAGATCAATTTCTTTAGAATCATCCTTTTGAACCACATCCTCAAGCCTTTTGCTGGGAGAAACCCCAAACTCTGCAATTTTATTCTTCTCTTCATTCCTCAGAGACTTAAGAACAGTGTCACTCTTTCTTTCTCCAACTTGCTTCTCATCTTTCTTCCCCTCTCCATCCTCAACATTCTCAAGGGATCTTTCATCTTTGGCATTCTCACCGTTCACTCTCACTTCACCGCCGAAAGAAGCAACGGGCACAGCTCTCGAACTTGCATTCTTGCAAATCTTGGAAGCATTCCCCCCACAACCGACTGGAAAATCCCTAACGACCGACGCACTTCTCCTCTTCAGAGCAGAAAATCTCTTCGCGACGCCCAGGTCCTGCTTCGTCACACCCCCATTCACACGTTTCCTTGACCTGCATTGCTCCTCCTCCACCTTTGAACCTTCTCCGATGGTATCAACCACCTCGGACACCGGCAAAACCTCTTCCTCTTTTGATAGCTCCAAGGGTTCCAACTTTTTCACACTCTCAGCTGAAAAATTCTCCGAATCCATCGGAATCCGAGAGGATCCTTTGGGGACCTCGAAGGAGCTGCTCGATTTGGATGCGGCATTACCCCCCGCCTCCTCATCCTTAGGTTTAAATTCTAATTTAAAATCAGGAGGAAAATTAGGGGTTGGGATGACCTTAGGTCCGCAGCCATTGGGGAAATCGCGGACGGCGGAGAAAGCTCGACGCTCTATGTTTATCGGAACTCTAGGCGGCAGCTCCAGCATCTCCGATCACCCAAATTTATCTGGAAAAAAGAAAGAAAATTTTTGAAAAAATGTGGAGCTTAGTTAGTTGATATTGAGTGTAAAATGAAATTTTTTTAGAGTAATAGAGATTTTTTTTTACCGAATTTGGGAGGAGAAAAGAAAAGGAATGGTCGAGATTAGGGTTTCTTTTGGCGGGAAGGTGAGTAATGGTGTGCAGTGTGTATAGAGAAGTGGGGGGGCTTTTGTCTGACAGTTTGTTATTTTTCTATTTTTATGCCCCACTTTCTACTCCCTTGTCTTTTGCTTTCTCAACTTTTTACACAATAAAAATATATATTCTTAGTTTGGAAGGAAACTATAAATGGTAATGCTTTTTTTTTTGTCTTATTTCGTGTACACAGGAATGAGTGGGAATTTATGAAATGTCTATTCCTACTTCTTTATGTAAACTAAAGATAATTTTTTTTAAAATCTAGAAAACACATTCTAACTTCTTATTTATTCAAATTTTATGTGGGAATAAGAATTTTCAGTTACTTGTTAAGAAATAAATATTCTCACTTAAATAGAATGAAAACTTAAAATATGTAGTATTATGTGATATGCTAATTTTTATAACAAAATTTTTCCTTTTTGGAGAGAGAGAGAGAGAGAGAAAGGATAAACCATGTGCTCCTCAAGAAGCTATTGCAAGACTATAGCTTCCAGAGTTACTGTTGATAGAAGCCCAGCCCATACAAGTTTACACGTAAGAAAAAGGCTCCGAAAATAGAAGAAGGTTATGGTTATCATTTTATTCAGTTCTGCTCACCCTTTGTGGGGGCTAAATACCCATATTGGTATTTTAATTCAACCCAATTTGTCAAAAATGTATTTTAAATAAACAAATCGTCGTTAAGGCATTTTAATTGAATAAAATTACCAATTAGGTACTTTTTCTCGTCGGCGACCACTTTTCTGACGAGAACTCGTCACGTGCGTGTCACGTGATGACTTAATCTGTATAAATACCCATATTGGTATTTTAATTCAACCCCATTTGCCAAGAAGGTATTTTAAATAAAAAATCGGCATTAAAGCCTTTTAATTGATTAAAACTACCAATTAGGTTTTTTTCTCGTCGGCGACCACTTTTCCGGTGAGAACTCGTCACGTGTGTGGCACGTGATGACTTAATCTGTGTTTTAGCTGATGATGTGGCTCGGTTTGCTGACGTGGCTCGGTTTTAGCTGCTGATGTGGCTTAATCACAATTTAAGTCCAAAACAAACCAACCTGAACCCTAAAAATTTCAAAACAAAGATCAAACTTCCACGCATTCACTCCAGATCTCAGATCCAACTCAATTATCTTACCTTTACCGCTAACAGAAGCAGTCAAAACCCCCGATTCCAGGAACTTCTAGAAGAAAACGCCATGGGAATTCGGAGAGAAGAGAGTGAGAAGACGAAGATCACTGCAGACTAGATTGCCGCCGGCGCGGCCATGGATCGATGCAAGAGAAAGATGTTCTATTTATACAGTAATTTCTCCACTAATTTTTCGCTAATTTTTTTACCAATTTTAGAAATGGGGGATTTTAAAATGCATCGACTCTTATTCTTCCTGCCACTACCGCGTCAGAAAACCGGTTGAATTAAAATGCACGTGACCAGTTCTCGCCGGAAAAAGTGGTCGCCGACGAGCAAAAAGACCTAATTGGTAATTTTAATCAATTAAAATGCCTTAACGCCGATTTTTTATTTAAAATACCTTCTTGGCAAATTGAGCTGAATTAAAATACCAATATGGGTATTTATACAGATTAAGTCATCACGTGTCACGCACGTGACGAGTTCTCGTCGGAAAAGTGGTCGCCGACGAGAAAAAGGACCTAATTGGTAATTTTAATCAATTAAAATGCATTAACGTCGTTTTTTTTATTTAAAATACCTTCTTGGCAAATAAGGTTGAATTAAAATACCAATATGGGTATTTAGCCCTAAGGGCCCTTTGGTTTGATAGAAGTATTAGAAGTAGGAAATAGATCAAAAAATAGCTTTTAAATTTTTAAAGTAAGAAATAGTGGAAGTATTTTTTTTGGCATATATTTTTATGTAGTGGAAATAGTAGTTCATATACTTCATTCCTTTTTTTCTGTATAGCAATGAAAAGTTGTTAGGAAGTAACTAATAAATGAAATATTAATAAGAAAAATTATGTATTTTTCTAATTGATGCAAATTTCATTTACTTCCGAGCTTTGGGGGATGGAAAAACATTTAAGAAGTATGGATGACACATAGACGCCACATCAGCTTTTAAGGAAGTATTGGAAGTAGGTTTTCCAGAAAAACAAACATGTTTTTTTTTGCTCGGAACTTGCAGAAATAGCCTTAGGGGCTATTTGGTTCGCTTTAAAACTCTGTGGAAAACTTTTACTTCCCCTCCACGTTGGTTTTTTCTCATCCACGTCGGATTTTTGGTTTCCGTAGTTTTTTTCCAGCTTTGTTTCACTAGGGCTGAAGAGGGAAACGAACTCATAAATCGCCTCCACGTAGGTTTTTTTTCTCTCTCCCAATTCTTTCCCCAACCGAGTGAAATCGACGAAAACTCTGGCCACGTCGGATTTTTTCTTCCTCGTTGATTTCTTCGGTGATCTAGAGTTACCTCCTTCGCATCGCTCCCGTCAAAAACTCCCGCGGCAGACTTCGTCGACGACGGCTGTTTCAGATCTGAAATCCCGATGGCGGCAGACTTCGTCGGCGGGTGGCACTCCCTCCGATGACCCCGACGGCCCCGGTCATGTGCTGCACTTTGTTCGACACCGTCTTCCACGGCTTCTCGGTCTCCCTGTCCCCCTCCAGAGCGACGCGGCTCTCATGAAACCCCTCCATCCTCGCCGTCTTCGAGGACCGCCGTCGAGACCTCCACATGACCCCCCTCCGCCATTGTCGATCTCTAAGCTTTGGGTCTCTCCACAGTTCGAGCAGGATCGAGGGGTTGTTGAAGTCGAGAGGTGGAGCTTTCATCGCCTGGAGTTTTCTTGTGCTTACACGTCCAAAGGTTTGAGGATGTCTTGTAACGGGTCGGATTCAAGCTCCGCGCCCTCGGTTGTGGTGAGTTCGTTTGAGTTTTTGGTTGTGGGTTCTTGATCTTTTTTGTCTAATTCCTTATGTATTCATTGAATTATTGGATTTTGCGTGTTCCTAGTGAAGATTGTGATTAAAGAGTTAATGGGTGGTATTATTTTTGTTAATTGGGAACTTCCTGGTGGGCATGAAACTGTGTAGTTGAGGTGTTTGTGAAAATGTGTGACGAATTGGTGGGCGTTTTTTGATAGGCAATGGGTAATCTGAATCATGAAGTTAATTGGAATTTTGATGGGCATGATGAGATAGTTGATGATTGGAAAATTCAAAGAAGATTGTGCGGTTCTTCAAATCAAGAGGGTGGAGTATTTTCATCGGCTGGAGCTTTCTCTTACAAGTATGAAAATTTATGCTTACAAATTTTCATATGATTTAATCTGAGTTGTGTGTTTAAAGCATCTCTAATATGCACAAGGATTTATTTCAACCATTTGTCTTCTCGCCTGGAAAGTAATTATATAACCTTGGATGTATATTGAATAATATGTGCTTGTCGTTGAACCTTAGATTTATTGAATAATATTGAATAATACAACATGTCAGAACCTTGGATGAATATTGATAATATGTGCTCTATGTTGTTGGGTTTTTTATTGCAATTTGTGCTCGTCGTCGAGCTACCGTGGATGTTTTTTGTTAATAGGCTGATTCGAGCTTGTTTAGCTCTATTTTGTTGGGTTTTTTATTGCAATTTGTGCTCGCCGTTGAGCTCCCGTGGCTGTTTTTATGTTAATAGGCTGGTTCGAGCTTGTTTATCTCTATGTTGTTGGGTTTAGCTTTATGTTGCTATTTGTGCTCTATATTATCATACAACATTTGTGGGCATTTGTTGGTTCTACATGTTGGTTCTATATGTTGGTTGCTGGGTATTTTGTGCTCAGTTTTTGTGTGCACATGTTGGTTCTATATGTTTTTTTGCTGGGTATTTTGTGCTAGGTTTTTGTGTGTACATGTTGGTTCTCAAACATGTATCTTTCAAGTCAAATCAGGTACGCAGTTCATAGCAATTAATTCATGTTATTTTAGGTTTTGTATGATTTCATTAATACAAACAGAAATTTATAATCCATTCGGAATATTATTATTTGTTCATGTTACATTCAAACTTTTCTATGACTAAGATTACCTTATATAATGAGCACAAATAAATTTGTATATAGTGGGGGTAATCTTAATGTGGTGACCATAAACAATTTTCCCAACAAACTTCAAAACCAACCAAACACAAGAAAAGTGGGAAATGTCAAATCAACAAAAGTTTTCCTTTTTTTCCATGCAAACCAAGAACAAGAAAAGTAAATACATTGGTTTCCCATCATTTTTATGTGCGAACCAAATCAAAACAATCTATTTTTTGGAAAAGTTTGGAAAACTCAAAACTTGTGTTTCTTTATATGGAATTGCATTTCCCAATATCTAGGAAATGAACCAAACAACCCCTTAACTTCTTTTACTTCATAATTGTTTACATGTAAACAAACAAGCCCTAATAGCAGGCACTAATTGAAATGTTATTTAACGAAAACTAGTATGGTGGCATACTCGTTTTATGTTTTAAATGTTTTTCTCGTGCGGATTAAATGACAAAGTGATTCAAAGGACAAAGATCAAAGATGTAAAGTAAAGCATGGGAAAGAAGTAGAAATAGGTTATAACTATTAATATCTAAATGTTGATACTATGTACTTGTTAAGTTGGTCGCTTCTAATTTTATTTTCTGAAAATTGAAGGAAATGAAGACTATTTTTTTTCCCCTTGCGTCTTAGTTTACAATGTCGTTGCATTCATTAAATTGCAATATTAATGATTTTGATAGTTAATACTTTTTATTTTAACTCTAAAAGTTAAATTATATGTAATTTAAAGATATTATTAAAATAATAATTACAAAACAAATAAGATAATATGGTAATATTCTTAGATCCAAGTTTAGATAAGATATATATGAAATCCATTTTCATAGGATAAGCTAGGATGTTTTATTTTTATGTGGAAGAGAGATTGACTTTATTAATAAGAAAATCAGTTGTTTCTAAGGGGCTGTTTGGTTCGTTTCCTAGATATAAGGAAATGTATTTCCA